GTCAACGATATTATTGTGAGAACTTTGACGATACAATATCACAATATTTCGGTTATTGTTACATCCCTACTGCATACGTACGTGCTGTTTGGATTCAGCTTGAATTTGGCACCTCATCTCTTCTAATCGCTTGTACCCAGTGCACTCGGAGTTGTGCGTCAGTGTGGAAATGATGAAAACTGAGGTATGGTTGTAATTATTGATTAGCCGAACATAACGGAATGCTACAATGACATGGAGATGAAGAAAACTGGGCCATTTTCTAATTTTTTGGATTTTATCCGACTTACTACCACAAACTGAGCCCACCAGATGTTTGGAAACCTGTCATCGCAGGTTTGAAAACGTCTTCCTGGTTGGCGACGTAAGTGTGAATAGAGCCAATTCTCCATAAATATATACAAAAACACGACACAAAACTGTACACAGCAACTTGACAAACCTGATGTGATGTGAAGTAGTTTCATTAGCGGGATGCACACTGATTGTGTTAGAATGGTGCTCTAAAGGGGAGTGACTTAGCATGGAGAGCAAAAGGAGAGGGTTCCCAGAGCGTCATAAGACAAAACTGAAACTGTTAATTCATTGTTTTTGGCGAATATGGCATTTTCAAAACTATAAAAGGTTATAAATTGTGTATGAAATTGTGTTAACTAGTACAGTTTGGCACCCATACATGAACTTGTAATTGAGTACACTTTAACAACATAACTGTATTTCTACTTGAGTATAAATCTTCATTACTAGTGGTTAGTAGTCCTACTCCACATGTACACACCTATTACACAATTACACAGTTCTGTCCTGTTTCTCATTCACTCTCATTATAAAGCGCCCAATGACTCGTAACGTCTCCATTTCACCACAGAGGGCGCTCACCCGGCTCTTATTGCATCACGGTGTGTTTTTGCCAAAGGGGGCGTGGCTGCGTGTCAACAGTAGACCCAAAAACGCTGCGTCTCGCCAGATGGTAAACCCAACCCTCCACGGTCAAATAACACAACCGACCAATCAGATTCACCGGGCGGGAATGTATACAGCAGAGCCAGCGCCAAGTCTCACTGTCATTCAAAGAGCTGTCCTCAAATGTGTGAAATCTATATGAATCTATACAGGAGTTTGGACTTATAAGAGGCTAGGGTTGTCAGAAGTATTGAAAATCAGACGCTAATTGATACTAAAATAACATCAAAACTACATACTCATTTGGACAAGTGTTGATACTGCAAAAATCATATTCACATGGCAAAATTTGAGGTTTTATCAAAATATAGTATAAGACCTCATGGTAACATAAAGAAAGTGCAATTAATTTCTGTTGCAAATTACATTATCTTACTAAAAAAAAGTATAACTTTTTGGTCTTCATTGTGGTATTGTAATCTGGATCGAGTATTGAGTCAGTTCCTTAGTATCGAAATCGAGTTTGAAATTTTAAAATTGTGACAACACTATAAGGAACTATATGTGAAAAATGATTATGGTTCATATATTGTACAATGTGTTGTAGAAGCCAGTATTCATGTTGTAAAGATGCACTATGTAACTTTTCTAGTGAGGGGTTTGTTTGGCATCTGCTTGTCTCCATGGATGTTATTGCTCAGCTTGTAATGTTCCACAGCATGGAATTAAAGCTATATATCTTAATTTATTAATTTACAAGTGTTTTATCAATGAGAAAAACCTGGAATAACATGCATTCTTACTGAGTGGACTCACCCCTTCACAGATCTGAACTGTAACATGGTCTGATGGCATTGAATAAACTCAAGCAGCAAAGTTCCTTGGTCTACAACTGGATAACTAATAACCTGTCTCAACAATGATAGACATGTTTAATGCCATACTGAGGAACACTGCAGGCAAAGTAATAACAACTCCATGGAGATAAGCAGGTGACAGACCCCCCACCAGAAAACTTACAAAATGCACCTTTAATTAAGTAATTAAGTAAGAAAATATCTAAAAGGGAGCTCCATAATTTATCTACACTACAAAACCTAGTTATTAAAAGACTTATTATTGTTTTCCTGCCCCAATGCCAATGTAATATGGACTGTAGCATGTTGTGATTTCTTTTGAAGTTATCAATATGAGAAATATCCAAAACCAAAATCCACAAATGTTGTTTATATTATTAGTTCTATGATTTGGTCGACTTGTACATGACTAAGTTCATGTGCAAAGTCAAACGTAATGAAATTCCTCTTTCTTTGCAGGCAGTGTTCACTCAGAGTAGTATCTCTGAGAAAAAGTAAATATAATCTAAGGGGTACATGTATGTTCAATAGGCCACATGTAAGAACTACTCTGAGGGAACACTGTTTATCAAGCAAAGGAGTTCAACTATGGAACAGTTGCTGCAATGAGCTACAACAAGCGACTTCTCTTTTTCAATTCAAAATAACTTTAAAAGTTATTTGAAAGAATAATGACAGTATTCTGATGTAGTAAAATGTATTAATGTCATATTAATTTTGAGTTGAACATCCATTGATGTGCTGTAGTTGGAGATAAGGCTATAGGCTAGGCTTTAGTTTCTGCCTACACTTCTGCCTTTAGCTTCTGCCTACACCTGGCCAGTGACTTACTTAGTGTTTGATTTGATTGTTCTACAAACTGAATATGTTTTATTTTTTGACATCAGATTAAATATAATGTATGTAGACTGTAATGAGTTAAACATTGACCAAATAAAAACACATGGACATGAACATTATTGATATTATCACGTTATATTTATCAACCTACAGCACAGAATACGCAGATTAACCCTAGACATTTTACCAGCTCCCATCTCATGTAAAAATACAAAAAAAAAAAAAAAAAAAAAAAAGCCCATATAATGTTGTGATGTAATCTGAAACCCAGCACCATTATCCCTTTGATTTGAGGACGAAATGACGCCTGTGCGTAAAAAAGAGCTAATTTGCATACAGCTGAATGGTCGCGTGCCCCGTTTACCCCACGCGAGGGTGAGAGGGAGGTGAGGGAAGGGAGGGGGTAAAGAGAGAGAGAGAAAGAAAGAGAGAGAGAGAGAGAGAGAGAGAGAAGAAGGAGGAGGGGGGGAGAGAGAGACACGAGTCGGGACAATAGGAGGCACGCGCTCTGCCGCTAAACTGTACAAAACACGGGTGGGTGGGCACACGCGCGCGCCACCAAAACCCACCCACGAGAGCAGGTTTGGTGGGTCACGTGAGCAGAGCCATCGTGGGATTAAATCTATAGGCCACGGTCTTGTCTTTAAATGGACTCAAAAAGCACATAGGGAAACGACCAGAGCCATGTGCGTAATTTTGGTGTCATATTACGCACGGTTTACGCAAGTGTGAAACGCCTCATTTCGCTACTAATAGGGCTTTTTATTTGTTACTGCAACTACCACGTTGTTATACGCATGGTATGATTCTTGTATCTCTATATTTTTGTTCAAAATTCCAAATGGAGAGAGTTATCCTTTAGCTTTCCAAGTCTTATAATTGATTGAACTTGGCACATTTTGCGCAGTGTTGTATACAGGGACAATAGATTAACCAAGACTGCAAATTTACACCTGAAATCCCTGAATGCTGGAAATACAGATTAAATGTGTATAGAAAAATGACCATAAATGGCCTAAATTAGATATTATATAGGGTCACATCATTCCAATCCTGCTTTATAATGAACATACATCCAAGCACATGAGCATTTGAAAGCCTTTTTTGTTTTTATATGAGCTGATCCAGATTCTCTGTGGGCCTCGCTGTGTAATTTCATACAAAACAGACGCACCGCTGATTGTAATTTCATTTTGGTGATAGTGACACCTCTGAGCGCGACGGGAATGGCGATAAGAGAAAGCAGCGCGCGCCACGGAGAAGCGGCTAATTAAGCGTGCAATTGAGCGTGACGTGGGGCACGAGAGGGGCGCGTGCGTGGAGGAGGAGGAAGAGCCTAATTGAATTCATGATTTTGATCCTCATTTTCCTACCCCTTGTTCCCGTCCTCGTGTTTTGCCCCCACGCTAAAAATACGCCAACAGATGTGAGGGGCTCGTTAATAATGAGCAGTGCGCGCGGGGCCAGTGGAATTAAATCTGGATAATTGTTGTTGGGTTAGAAGGGAAGGGGGTTGGACGACAGCGATGTTATAAACCTAGAGACATCATCACCATGGTAACCGATAAAGCAACCAACATCCAGTTCTTGACCTGCCATGTTGTGACTGTAAAATTTTGTAGGCCTTTGACATTAATGACATTGTACTTTACCGTAAAATATCCAACAAGTAAATTTATATATTACAACAAAAATCTGCACTTGAACAATATTTATTTTAGCTCGCCCATCTGTATTAAATAATATTGGCTAGTACAATGTTGTGCTGTCGTCCCACCAACACAAACCAGCAAGGAGCTACACTTTTTAATTACAAATTTATCTTAAATACTTAAATAATTTGACTCTTTACATACTTCTACTTCATCTAATAGTCATGTTCTGTTTTTACTAATTTGAAACAATTTTGAATAGGCATTAATGTTTTTTTGTGTTTTACCTGAAGCCCAAGTATAGTCAAATTCTTAAAATATCCATGAGTTGCAGAATGATACAATAATGTGCTTATAGGTTGGTTGCCATAGTGATTAACAATTTAAAACTAAATATTATATCTTAATTTAAAGATATGCATTATTAGGACTATAAATATACCAATATACTGCATGTCAACCTTTTATAACATCGGATCATTGGAATTTTACAATCACAAGATGGCTGCCGCATTTTCCACGGCAACAGCAGCCAGAATCGCTCTAGCCTTTATTATCCCACTCTGGGGTTGGATGTGTAAAAAGGGGCGGGGTTCTGGGCTTTGACTGACGGCTTAGCTAATGAGCAGAGCCGCGGGAGTCTATATACAAGGGAGGAGACACGCTACTCGGATCACTCAGTAGTAATAACATCACCAAAGCGCATCCGAACTGGCACGGCAAGGCTTGGTTTGTGGAATACGCAACGAGAAGACGGGCGCATTTGTGGATTTCCCTCTAATTTGGATAACTTGGAGCTTGCTTTTTACATTTTAAACACATTTTAAACCAAGGAACTAACGCAGGATTCGTTTTTGAGTGAAGAAGGATATATACGAGCGTTTTGAATATTTTTGTTTTCACTTTTACGCGCGTGTGGAATAGCGGAGCGCTGCTGTGAAGGCTGGTATATTTTGGTTGGTGCGAGCTGCCTTGGGGAAGCGAGGATGGCAGCTTGGATCACCTTAACCATTGCTTTTAGTACTACATTATTATCACAGGTAAAACAATAAGGACTCCTCGACAATTTGACAGCACGTATTTAATTTTTTTTCCTACTTACCACAACTATATCACTTTGTTTCTCTTCTAGGTCTTTGGAACAGGCGTTTTTGAGCTCAACCTGCATGAATTTAAAAACAATAAAGGCTTATTGGCGAATGGTAGCGCTTGCAAACCGAACTGTAGGACTTATTTCAGAATTTGCCTGAAGAATTATCAAGCGGTAGTGTCACCAGGGGACTGCATATTTGGGAGTTCAGTGACACCGGTGCTGGGGACCAACTATTTCAACGCGAAAGAGAGCGGCACCGTACCTAAGCCAATTCAGATACCGTTCAACTTCGGATGGCCGGTAAGAGAACACTAACAGGGCAATACAGCGTTCGTAATTTTTGTTTAGCATCACGTTCATGTTGTTAATTAATGGTCAATTAATGCAGATAATTCAGGTTTGGTAGTATTTGGGCGCTCATTTGGCAACCCAGACGCACGCCAAGTGTTTATTGCAATGTCTTAAAACGTGGCTTAGAGTGTTCCAAAGTCGTACATAATCAATTAATTACGCTTTTAGTGCTGGTTAACTCAATGAATATTAACCAGATTGTTACGTAGTATTTGAGCGCTCATTTGGCAACTCAGACGCACGCATAGCTAATAGCAGTGCCTCAAAACCTATCTTACACTGTTCCAAACTCGTACAAAAACAATTAATTATGTTGTTTGTTAGCGTTTATTGCTCAAAATTTAGATTTTTAGATAAAATTAGGGCACTTATTTGGCAACCCAAACCCGTGCAAAATCAAAATATCAATTCGTAATGTAGTTTGTAGTGTTTCAAAGTCGTACAGCGCAATTCTTTATGTTGTTTAAAATCATTTAGATCCTTAGATAACATTAGGGCAGTTATTTGGCAACCCAGACGCATACGTGGTCAATTACGATGTGTAAAACGTAGATTGCAATGTTCCAAAGCCGTACGAAAGCAATTAATTACGTGTGTTTCCTCTCAGGGCTCGTTCTCGTTAATAATTGAGGCCTGGCATTCACCTTATGGAAGTCTACCTGCAGGTAAGTGCACTTTTACACCACACGAGGGAGCCCTGTCTGTGTTAAACCAGCGCTCCGCTCAGAACCCACTGTTACGCAATTACGCACAAAATATAAACATTACTTATTATCTGTCGTATTTTTGTTTTATATTTTCACACCGTTACACAGAAAATAATTGTAAATGCTGAAGCTAATAAATGTTAAGTCCTGGTTTAGTCCTGGTTCAGATCCCATTTTAGACCTGCATTCCTGGTTTGATCCTTGGTAAGACCTGAGTAAGCCTGGGTTTGACATGGTTTATTTGTTTATTTTCCTCAGTTAATCCTGTTTTAAATTGTTTTGCGCTGTTCCAAATCACAGCTTTGTCACGGTTCAGTTCTGATTTAGACCTGGTTTAGTCCTGGTTTAGACCTGGTCCAACCAATGACCCTGGTTTGATCCTAGTTAAGACCTGTGGAAACCTGGGTTAGACATGGTGTACTTTTTCCCCCTGATTAAATCCTGCTTTAGATCTGTTTTGTGTCGGTATATAGTGCTGGTGTAGTCCTATTTTAGTACTAGTTTAGTCCTGGTTTGGTCTTAGTTTAGTCCCGGTTCAAAAAATAGTCCCCATTTGATTCCAGTTAAGACCTGCGTCCTTGTGGTTAATATTCAGGATTAGGCTTGGACCTGATTTATTAATGCTTGACTTAGTCCTGGTTTAGATTAGTTTTGTGTTGGTTCATGTTCAAGGTCTGCATCCTGGTTTGATCCTTGTTAAGACCTAGTTTAGTCCTGGTACAGTTCCATTTTAGACCTGATATTTTCCATTTCTTCTTACACAGAGTTCCAGCTTTGACTCTTTATGATGGTTCAGACCTTTTTTTGAGCCCGAATTAGTTTAATTTTACTTATGACTCAGTTTATTACATTTCTTTTCTAACCTGGTTCTTGTTTAGTCCTGGTTTAGACCCACAGACTTGGTTTTAAAGACCAGTCTTTTAGTCGCTGTTTAGTTCTGATTGAAGTCCTGGCTTAGTCCTGGTTTAGTTGCTTAGTCTTGAAACACTAGTAGACCTAGTTTAGTCCTAAAGTTAATTTAATCCTGGTTTCATCCTAGTTTAATTCCAGTTTTGTCCTGGTTCAGTGCTGGTTTGACCCCAGTTTATTCTATATCTGAAGACCAAACTTATTTCTAGTTCATTTAACCTTAACCTTGAAGTCCTAAACTTGTTAAGTCCTAGAGCTTGGACCTGTTTAGTCATAGTTCAGTTCTGATTTTATTATATCTGAGACTTGGTTTAATCTGGCTTTAGTCCTGGTTTATTCTTTTAGTCCTGTTTTAGTTCAGACCTGTTTTAGTCCTAGAGTCAATTGTTTGTTCCGCTATAATCTAGTCCTTGTTGTGTACCTGTTTTTGTTCTAGTTCTGTTCTTATTTGACTTTATTGGTTAGCCTTGCTTTAGTCCCTGTTTGGTCTGTTTCAGTCCTGCTTTAGTCCTGCTTTAGCCCCGGGTTAGTCCTACTTTAGTCCCATTTCAGTCCTGCTTTCGTCCTGGTTTATTCCCCTCTCATACTTACACACACTCACACAGACACACACACTCCTTGTTTGGAGTGGTGCACCTTTCTCTCTTTCTGTCCGACACAATCGCACTTCCTTTTGTGTATTTTTGGCGTGGGAACGTTGTGAGTCTTCGGTGAGAAACTGCGATGGCTGCCAAACGCCGCGGACTCGTCTTCCTGTAGTTTACACCTTTGGCTGTTCCGCCCTTTGGAACCGCAGCACCACAAACTCAAACTCCAGAATGCGCTTTTGTTTTTTCAATCACAAAGAGGAAACTTCAATCCTGAGTTTATATTATGAGGCTTGTTGCCAGGCAGATGATTACTGGACTACTGATATTACACTATATGCTATATCGCTTTAGATTAATCACATTTGATTGGTTTAAAAGAAATCTTTTTTTTATTTTTTTTATTTAATGCTGCATTATGTAACTTTTCCGGTGGGAGGTCTGACACCTGCTTGTTTCCATGGAGATATTACTCATGTTCCACAATATGGCATCTTGCATTTAATGAATTGTAGGTGTTTTTATTGTTCAAAAATACCTTGAAAAACCTCTCCACAGATCTGACCAGAAGCTTAGTCTGGTGACATCACCTGCTTGTCTCTGTGGGATACAAGTTTAATACCATATCATATCAGGCAAACCTTCACCCCTCCACCAGAAAAGTTGTATAGTGAACCTTTAAGCAATTCCAGTGTATGTTCAAATGTGTTACAGTTATTGTTTCTCAATAGTTTCTGACATTTTTGTCTTGGTTTAGATCAATAGTTAACTCATTGCCTATATTTAGAAAATATTTCAGTCACAGTCTGGTTTTACACAAATTTAAATTTTGGTCACTCTCTAATCAAGGGCCCATATTACACTATTTTCTGATCTGTTAGAAGTGTTTCCTCATCAAAAGCGTACCTGGAGTTGTGTTTTGTTTCATTCACACATGTTTAACACACAAAGCATGCATCTGGATCTAGACTTACTAATAATACGGAATTACTCAAACATGTGTGAATGAAAGAAAACACACACAACCTAGCTGTCTTTCATGAGGTAACATGTTTCTAACATGGCAAGGTCTCAAAACTCAATTTTTTTTAAATATTTCAATGCAGTTCATTTTCATTTTTGTGATACTTGGGTGTTATCTGAGACCTTACCTGATTTCTGCATGTCCTCTCTCCCACAGATAGCTCAAGCTCTGACCTCCTGATCAGTTTCTTCGCGATTCAGAAGCAGTTGGCCGTGGGTGCGGACTGGTCCCAGAGTGTGCAGTTGTGGAGGCAGACAGAGCTCCGCTATTCGTACAGGTTCATCTGTAACGAGAGCTACTACGGGGAGTCCTGCTCCAAGAAGTGCACCCCACGAGATGACCGTTTTGGGCACTACACCTGCACCAGAGACGGGCGGCTGGCCTGTCTACCCGGGTGGAAGGGCAAATACTGCGAAGAACGTAAGACAATACTTTAATACTGTACAAGAGTTATTTTAGCATTTATTGACTTTGAATATTCTTGTACACTGCAAAAAGAAAGTTTTTTGAGAGTACAGTTTTGACCTATCCAAAAATATCTCCCAATCGATTTTGATCTGAGGGAGTGTTATGCAAAACTGACTCTACTGAGCTTTCTAACATGTTATTATGTTTTTCCCTCATCAAAATCATGCCTGAAGAGGTTTTAGATGTCATCCATGAATGTTTCAGTAATTTATCAATCTCTCCTGGGCCCTATTTGAACCCTCCTTAAGGTTAGCTGTAAGATTTTGTGCAATGCTTAGCCCACAACCCCACATCACCCATGCTCCCACATGACAATTCTCCGAAAAATATACAAAAACATGATGTAAAACTGTACACAACTTGACAAACCTGATGCGATGTGCAGTAGTTTCATTAGTGGGATGCATGCCGATTGTGTGGTGATAGCGCTCTGAAGGAGGGAGAGACTTAGCATGAGGAGCAAAATGAGATAGGAGATAGTAAGAGGCTAAATCGTTCTTGGTTGAATCTACACTTCAGGCTTATTAAAAGCTTTGGTGGCCACATCTGACATATAATTCTGGAAAGCCAACTCAACAGTTTTGGCCATGAAAGCTTCCTGTAATGGTTGCATCATTGGCTGTTAAAGGTGCACTACGGATGGGAGGTTACAGGTTACAAGTCAGGTGTGTGAAGAGGTGACCCAGCTCATAACCAAAATACATTTCATACATTTCTAAAGATAAGCATTTTTAGCAAAAGCTGATTAAATGAAAGAAAAATAATACCATAATGACGGATAATGTCTTCATGGAGACAAACAGGTGATGCACCCCTAAAACAAATAAAGAAAAGTTACATAGCTCATCTCTGAATGTGGAACTGATGGATAAACTCAAGGATAGACCCACTGGCTGTTACATTGCTAAACAATCTTTTCACCAAAACAAATGAATCAAAAGGACGCAGATTGGGTAGACGTGCTAATCGCTAACATGTGCTGCGTTGGGTGACCACATTGGCGTCTGTGGATCGGTCGTTTATGTCGCTGTGGTGAAAGAGAAATTGGCGTGTGCTATTTTCACCGTGGCGCCAAATCCTGACCAGATGGGCTCACGTGTCGCAATTACACGCGCATCAATCGCCACGACGACAGAATATATACAGCAGAGACATGTTCATTTTTCAATAGTAGTTAGCAGTTAACAGTACTCATAGCAATACACTGCAAAAACAATCTCAAGTATGTTTAAAGGTCCTATATTATACTAAATTTAATCTTGTTAACTTTCAGCCATGTCATAAGGCTGTTATCTTGTCAAAACATACCTGGAGCTGTGTTTTGTTTCACCCACACATGTTTCAGTAATCCCTTACTATTAGTCTGTCTGCATTTCTAAAGCTCTTGCTGTGTTCCACCTTGTGATGTCATGTAGTGGTAGTTTTCAGGTTAACAGCTACCCTTTACCTTTAGTTCAGTAGAGATTAGCAAAAGCAAAGGGCTGAAATTGCCAAATGATTCTAATGAAGGTGTATGGGGTTTAAAAACACAGTGGAGAACTTCCTGTATTATCACATGACATCACGAAGTGAAACAGAGTGTTTTCAGTCTGAGAAGAAGAACTCAGCCTAAATATGCAGGTTTTGTGTGTTAAACATGTCTGAAGGAAACACAAAACACAACCCCTGATACTTTTTTGATGAGGAAACATAACATAGATCAGAAAATAGCATAATATGGGCCCTTTAAAGGAGACATATAACTACTTTTACCCTTTTTATAATGTCGTGTCCTCATCAAAAACACATATATGGAATTATTTTTTTCTAATTGTGAAATAAGTCAAAAATGTGTCAGATCATTCTATAGACGTGTATTTTAAAAAGCCAGACAAAAACCACATGACACAAGATTGATGAGGAGAGAGAAGCTGGTGACATTTACCATTTACCAAAACAACAGAAATAACCAGGTGCTGCCCTCTTAATGACTTTATGATCCCCACAAACGCGCAGACTGCACTGGACCAGACGCTCGGCTAACTGTGTGGAGCCTATAAGATGTACTGGTGCATTACTGGAATAGTTAGAATGTCACCTTATTATTCTTTTCTTTGGTAAAGCATGTTTAACTTATGAGGAAAGTATTTTGTATTGATACTTTGCAGCTGATCAGAATATTCTATGGGCCAATAACATTTAATACAGATGGGGCAGGTAAAATGTACATAGTTAAAAATCTGATTTTTGTTGTAATACAGTGAGTTCTTAGGTCTAGTCAATAATAGTAAAAAAATGTGACTTTACTTTTCATGGCAAAGTACAGTGTACAGATATTACAAAGATATTTCATGGTAAATACAGTGTAATTTATAGGGGAAACTGGCTCCTGCCCTCCATCTGAGAGTGTGACATTATCGCTTCCTAGAATCTGAAAACTGCCAATACCTGAAGCTCTGTTACTCAAATTAGATTTAATCTGAGCTTTACTTTAACAGAAGCTGACCAAAAAGAACAGATTTAGGATTTCATTTGATCACTCTCACCTTTTTATTGAAAATCAAATTTCCAAACAAGCTTGCATTGATCACAGACTCCTGAAAATGTGTGGTTTCAATCTATTTAGCATTTTTTCTTGAGTTATAATCTTTTTTTTAAATCTAAAAACATATCAGACATAATCAGGCAGTGCACATTGTGTCTCCATGGTAACTGCTGAACATCCCGCCATAGAGATACTTGTAGAGCACCCCCAGCATGATGTCACTGCAAAGCCTCAATACATAAAATACACAAATATTGTTTCTGGCCCCCCACTTTGAATGAACAAAGTTTGGACAGCCCTGGAGTTATGGCCTAAAGGTCTGGCCTAGCGTAGCCTGCACATATCTGGAGACAGGAGTGTAACCTTATCCTCCCCTGTACACGAGTGTCATGGCTACCGCACGCAGGGGTCAATCTCCGCATTATCCGTCGCCACGCGCCTGCCATGTTGAGCAAATGCTTCTCTCCACAACCACAAACAACAATAGACGCAGCTGTTGGCTAATAACAGCGCGCATCTGCTAGCCTCTAAACCGTCTGCTTACAGCATGTTTGAAATATACCCCTGCCGGATCCGTGTCACGCCAAACCCGGGCATTTAAAGTGGGGAAAAGTCGTGAGTCAAATCCGGTAGAGCCCATGCAGCTGTGGGAGTGGATGACAGGGCAGCTCAGACCAAGGCTAGCCCTGAATAGCGGCAGGTTATGCTAGCTATTTGCGACTTTAAAGAGGTACTGTAAAAACAAAAGTCAGTGAAGTTTAGCTGGGGAGGTCACACTGCTAAACAAAATCCAAAATAGTGATGCAGAATTCACTCCAGTGTGCTTTTACCCATATTAGAATGTTGTCACCTCATCAAAAACAGACCTGGAGTTGTGTTTTGTTTCATTCACACATGTTTGAGTAATCCTGCATTATTAGTCTGTCTACATCTCCAAAGACAAAGAGTGTTTTCAGTTTGAGAGAAGAACTCAGCCTAAATATGAATGCAACATGTGTGAAAGAAGCAAAGCAAAACTCTGGATATGTTTTTGAAGAGGAAACAACATTATAACAGATGAGAAAAGAGCATAATATGAGCCCTTTAAAACATTATTTAAATTATAGGAATGTTGATTGAAATAGCTTGAAACCCAAATGTATCTTGTTTTTTCTGGATTAATTTAGTAGGAATTGTTATCACTACATGATTTCACCATATGTTTTTAAAGGTGAACTATGTAGCATCTGCAACCTGTGTCTCCATAGAGATGTTAGCCTATTACTTGGCCTGAAATGGTCCACACTATGGCATTAAATGTCTACAGGGGTTTCCATTGGAAAAAACAACTCATAACCATGCATTTTTACCATGTATGGGCATGCACATCTCAACAGATCTGACCTGTAACTTAGCCAATTGATGTCACTTGTTTGTCTCCATGGAGATAAGTTTAATGCCATACTGTGGAACATTACAGGCAATGCAATAACCATCCTGTATTCCCACATGACATCAGGTGGAAGAGAGTGTTTTTCAGAGAGAAGAACTCCTCCTAAATATGCAGAGTTTGAGTGATAAACATGTGTGAATGAAACAAAACGCATCTATTTTTTTACACAAAAAATAGCATAATAAACAGCTTTAAACAGTTGTGGATTTTCCTTTTAATATTTCTTTTAAATATAAGCACTTTTGCATGTATATAGTTGAAATTGTTTTTTAATGTCTGCATTTTTTTTTTTTTTTCTTGTAGCGATCTGTCTGGAAGGCTGCAGTGAGAGGAATGGAAACTGTTCCAGCCCCGGAGAGTGTGTGTGAGTATTACGATGTGGCGAAAGACGTGGCCGTAATGTTATTTTAGCATTTTTGTTGATTTTTATCGTCATTAAACATCTGCGATTCTTTAGCTGCTCATATGTTTCAACACATCCTTCACCATTCAACCAGTGCACTCCAGTGATTCTCAAACAGTGGTATAGCAGCTAGTACATGAGTGATCTGCATGGGGTACTGAAAGTTTTTTCGAAATGTATTGCCAGAAAATGTATGTTATTTCTGTAGTCTGGCTGAGGACAGACTGATAAAAGAGTAGCTGCCAGTGTGTGCATATGGCCTCTCCAAGCACCACCAAATAAACACACAAATACTATATTCATACTACGCAAGGTGGGTGAAATGTCCTGCTCAAGAACACAACAATAGAATGCAGTGATGGAAGCTGGAATTGTAGAGGATAGGGTCAGATGGAGCAGAGAATGAGGAGGAGCGTGTCTGATGGAGCAGAGGAGCCCAGGAGCAGAAGAGAGGGTCAGATGGAGCAGATGATGCAGAGAAGATGGTGAGAAAGAGCAAAGGATGTCGAGAAGAGGGTTTAACAGAGCAGAGGAGAGGGTCAAATGGAACAGAGGATGCAGAAGAGGGGGTCAGATGGAGCAGAGGATGCAGAGTAGAGGGTCAGAGGAGTAGAAGAGAGGGGCAGAGGAGAAGGTCAGAGGAGCAGAGGAGAGGGTCAGAGGATGCAGAGGATGGTGAGAAGAGGGTCTGACGGAGAACAGGAGTGGAGCAGATGAGCAGAGGAGAGGGTCAGATGGAGCAGAGGATGTGAGAAGAGGGTCTGACGGAGCAGAGGAGAGAGTCAGAGGAGCAGAGCAGAAGGTCAGAGGAGCAGACGATGGTGAGAAGAGAGTCTGACAGAGCAGAGGAGCGGAGCAGGGTCAGACGGAAGAGATTTCTGACTTCACGAGGGAATAAACCTAAAGTTAAATCCATCAGCTGCTTTACAAATCAACATTCCTAAACATTAAAACTTTTTATACCAGCTACCCATAGTTAAACTCCCAAGGCTCTCATTCTCTCTCCCCCCTTCTATCACTATGCCCTCTCTCTTTCTCACCCCCTCTTCCCCCTCTTTCTTTCTCCACTCTCTGCCTTACCCCCTTGCTCTATTTCTCTCTCTCTCTGCTCTCATCTCTCTGGCTTCCCCTCCGTTTCTCCCCTCCACCTCACCCTCCATCACTTCTTCTTCCTAATCTCTCTTTCTCTCTGTTCTCTCTCCCTCTATCTCTCTCTTTCGCTCTTTCTCCCTAACTGTCTAGTTCCTCCCCTCTCTTTCTTTCTCACACCCCTCTCTCTCCTCTCTCTTGATCTTTCTAGTTTTTTCCCTCTATCTCCACACCCTTTCCGTTTCTCTTTCTTGCTCTCTCATCCTCCCTCTCTCTTAACTTTTCCTTCCTCTCTAGTTCTGCCTCTCTTTCTCCTTCCTTTTCTCTCTCTGCTTCTCTGTCTCTCCTCTCTTCCTCTCTCCCACGCCAACCTCCTCCCTCTCTCTCTCTCTTTCTCTCATAAGCTGCTGTGAGAATTGTGTTGTATCCTCTTTTAGGCACAGATCTGTCACTGTGTCTGTGGATTCTTCCCATACGTTTCTATAGCTGTAATCTATATGTTTAGTGACGTCGCTCAGACGGCACAACATGTGGGAAAAGGGCTTTGGGGGAGTTTGATAATCTCTACTGCAATACTCACATTTAAGGTCTAGGGCTGTAAGTGTTCTCCATTTGAGGAAGACTGAAATCTCAACTGAATCCCATGCATTTCAGAACATGTTTGTAGAGGTCTAAACTACAGATACAATGTAAAAAGGCAGGATATTTTGGTCTTTGCAGAGGAAATTCTATTGTCTAAATAATTTAAGACCTCAAATTCTGATTTTGATTAATTTGCAATATATTTTTAGCCTGATTCATCAGACGGTTTCACTTCATGGAAACTGTCTGACCTCGCAGTATTAGGATTTGTTGGTAGGCGGGTACTTTTTAAAATATAACCAATCAATTTGGTCATGACATATGTAATGCGCCGCTAACAGGGCTAACTGGTATATTAAGCTTTTCCCAATTCCTGTAGGAAGAAGGGCAGTAACGTCTTTCCCCTTGATAAAATTCACCAAACATTCTATTTGTTCCGGCTTTAAATCCTCAATCTTGGGAATCGTTGCCAACACAGAATGTCTGGCTCTTCGCTGATTGACTGGCGCCCAAACTCACACCCAGAGTTTTTGCGAACCATTTAGTGTATTCCGATTCTTGACCTAGTCACTGGAGAGAAATGAAATTGAGCGGAGGCACTAGGTGGCACCAGCCTGGGTAATATATTTTGCAATCCAAGTCTAAATCAGCATAATGCAAGTCCTAAAATATACATATTAACAGAAACTGGATTTAACCTGGACTAAAGTAAAACTTGGTAATTAGTAAAGCAGGACTAAACCAGGACTGAACCAGGTCTAGAAATGTAAATAGGATTCATGGAGTAAAAACATTTTGAAAACAGGTGATTCACAATTAATGCAAGCACTGACAGAAATAAACCAAGAATAAACCCAAGTCTGAACCAGAACTAAACTGGGCTTTGAAGCATTAAATCCATTCTAAACCAAGGCTAAACATTGGACAAAGGCAAGACAAAACCAGACAAAACAACGAACACGATTTAAAGCAGCTGTGAACAAAGGAATAATGGGAATGTTCCAAAATCTACAAAGTATTAAACCAGGACTAAACCAGAACTAAACTCAACACTCTAAATTCATGAGAAACTGAAATCTGTACTTTTATATTTGGCTCAGATCCAGCACCTTCAGCTTGAGTCTAAATTACACACTGTTATAAGCCTTATCTCCACAGGTATCTTCATTGGCCTGAGTTTGAACTGACATTTTTCAGGAGGAACTATATTGTATTTTGTGCAAGCTAAAAGAAATGTTGTTCCTCCTCCAAAACTGAAAGAAGTTTTATTGTGATGGATGAGTCGAGTTTGAGCAGCAAATGTTGTAGAGACAGCTCCTATGGATTTATTTGAGCTTTTAATACAGCAATAATGTCATCTGATTCTTGATAGATGAGATGCTGAAGCTAGTTTTCGTTCGGTTGAGGGGAGGTTAAAAGTGCACACTGTAAAAAAATATAACAAATGACTTGAATTTACAATATCAATCTTGATTTGAGCAATGACAGCGGCGCAGAGGGTTAAGAGTTCGCCCAACAACAACAGGGCATTCAGTTCAAACCTCAAACCCACCTCATGTCCATACTGTTGTTGTGTCCCTGGGCAAGGCATTTCCATTGATATTGCACAGTTCAGTTGGTGCAGTGGAGTTTGCCGCTACGGGAAGGCCATCCAGCTGAAAAATAAATAAATAATTCAATATTTACTTAAATAGAGCTTTCAGTCAAAATGCTTAGAATAAAATTAGAAAGTTAAAAGTTAGGAAGTTAATAATATTATACTGCAAAAATATGTAGTTGTTAAAATAGTAGTTTTAAGTAAGCTTTAAGCCATGTTAACCAAACTGATATATTTTTGTTGTGTTTTCAGGTGCAGAGATGGTTGGCAGGGCCCCTTCTGTGATGAGTGTAGGAAGTACCCCGCCTGTAAACATGGGACCTGTGAACTGCCCTGGCAATGCAACTGTCAGGAGGGATGGGGAGGCCTGCTGTGTGACCAAGGTACTACACAACTCATGCTAGAAAACGACGTCTTTAGACAAGTATACTACATTTCACAAGATCTGATACACTAGGACGAAACTAATTTTCACTCTTTAGCTCTAACTGTAGATATTTCTTTTTTACAGTGGACTCTTCTCTGTTTTCAAAGCCAGCGCTCATGTTACTCACACTTTACACTGTCTGCACCTGAAGCATTAGATAATTAGGTTTCCTCAGACGAGCGTTCACTCATCCACATCCGTGACACTGCAAAAAACACTTAGAGACTTAAAATGACTATGTATCCAGAAGAAGTTCAGTATATCAGGTTGATATGTTGACATGTTTTTGTATTTTTGAGGAGCCAAGTAAACTTTGCCATACAATATATCACATTTAATACAATAATGTGAACTAGTCTAAACTAATCAGAATTAGGTGCTTACTTAAAGAGTAACTGTGCAGATCTTTTGTGTAGTATTTTTGTAGATCTAGTTTTGCAGGGCTTTGTTTAACCAGCCCTCTAAAACCACACAGAAAAAGCTCCTTCATTTTTATTTTTAATTTGTTTTATATTGCCTCTGTGGATGTGAAGAATGGGTCAAATGCAGAGGACAAATTTCCCCTTAAATTGTACCGTAATAAACATACTTACTACTTCACAGTTTGCAGTGCAAGATAAAAGCACTTTATAATTAGATGCAGACAGCACATAGCAGTCTCATTTTGACCTTAAGAGCTGTTTTAACCATACGTTATTACATAAAAGAAATTTTTTTTATTGTATTCATAGCAACATTTTGGCAGTGCGCCGTATGACTCCGCCTCTTTCGTTTTTCAGACCTAAACTTTTGCACCCATCACCAGCCGTGCGTGAACGGTGCCACCTGCATGAACAGCGGGCAGGGCAGCTACACCTGCACCTGTCTGCCCGGGTACACAGGAAAGGACTGTGAGCTGCTCATGCAAGAGTGTGACAGCGCCCCCTGCAGGAACGGTGGAGTGTGCAAGGTAAGGACCACCACTACACTGTAAAACTAGGAACAATGACATTTTGGGTAGTTGAGGTAAAACGTGTTCAAGTATTTTCAAGTACATAAACTTAAATTAACATAAATAACCAATAAATAAACAATTTCATAATTTGCTTTACAAATAGTTAGATTATTTATTCATCCATTATTCACACTTCCCTCCAACAATGCATCACCAATCACACAGTCATGGTCTTGCTCAAGGACACAACATCTGTTTACGGTTATTGACCAAATATATAGCAACTTTCCTACTTCTGTCCCTTAATCTCAGACGGTATCATGTGAGGTCCAGGTAGTAAATAAATCTATAGCAGAAATACAAAAAGGAGCACTATGCATCACCGTCTCCATAGCGATGTAATTGATTTGCCTGGAATGTTCCACAGTATGGCATTAAAATATATAAATTTAATGAAACATCTCCCTCCCTCCGTCTCTGTCCCTCTCAGAACTTGGAGCAGGGGTACCAGTGCTCTTGCCCCCCTGGTTTCGAGGGCTCTCACTGCGAGCACAGCCTCCTCACCTGCGCAGACTCGCCCTGTTTCCATGGCGGCCGCTGCAGTGAGAGAGAGGGGGGGCGGAGCTACAGGTGCGACTGTCCCAGGAGCTACACCGGCCTCAACTGCGAGAAGAAGGTTGACAAGTGCACCTCCCTGCCCTGCGCCAATGGTATGTTACTAGTATTTTTTAAACTATAAGCAAAAACAGGAAAGCTGAAAATATTAAAAGAACTCTACCTGATTTTTACTGTCTTAAAAACGTGAAAAAAAAAACAAAAAAAACAGAACTAGTTAATTTCAGTTTGTAGTGATCCAAAGTTATTCCTCATTTACCTTATGCATTCTGAGCATCCTAATTATTCACTATGATCATTTTATAAGTGCTTTTCACAACTTTCAGAGGCCAATTTTTTTGTCACTCTAATGCTAAACAAGTACTAGCATGCTAACAGCGCATCAGTCTTACTTTCTGGTTCACAGAAGTGAAAATCCTTCATAATAAACCTGTACTGGATGGAGACAAATTAGGCTTAATGCATGGAAAAAATGACTTTCCAACAGGCCTGCTCTTATTCTGTATGTATATAAATAATGATAAGGCTGGACATTCGTGGATCATATGTTTTTTTGGTGGGGGGGGAAATGTCCCCTGTTCCTTCTTCTCTTTGTCCCAGCTGTTTTGAACTTCCTCACCCCCACCTCTCCGGGCTCCTGTCCCTCACCCGTTCACACAGACTCTCCCCCCCTCCTCACCCCTTCCTCCCCTCCTCCCCCATTCACACACACTCTCTCCTCCTCCTCCTCCTCCTCCCCCCCTCCTCACCCATTCACACACTCGTCCTGGAAGCCGAGTGAAACAACAGGAATCAGGGGGAACTGTTCTATTGTCCTGCACATAAACAGGGCCCACACTGTAAACACCATCACAGACTCACAGCACTGTAATGTACACTGTAAAAAAAAAAAGAGTGTAATTTACTTTTTTGAGTAGTTTGGACTTTTGAGTAGGTTTGACTTTTAGTTTGGATCTATTTACTTCTCAGGAATAGGCTGTTTAATGCTTTTGAAGAGAGTTTATACTGGTCTAACTAATATTTTACTTGGCGTCATACTGAATTCTAGCTAAGGCCTAAAAATTCGATCACTCTGAATTAGTTTAGACAACAAATAAAAAATAAATTAAAAGACAAAAATTAATAGTCTATCCCCTTTTTATAGTGTAGTTTGATTTCTGTAAACATTGAGAGTTATGTTGCAAGAACAACTGGAACATAGCAGCTTCAGAATTGTGAAACGTGTTGGAATTGATAAAGAGATTTTGTAATTTCTTGATTGAAAATTCCTACAATTACGGTACAGTATTACATAAGACATAAGACTTGAAATCTGGAAACAATCTTGACTTCAGAGGTAATGTCGAATGCACATATTTCTGTATATTTTATTTCCATTTTTATTCAAGTTGGTTTCAGTAGATGTAGTAGTAGTATATTAATATAACAAATAATAATACATCTTGGTAATTAGGTTTACAACAATAAAGGGAAATAAGACAATATTAAAATGTGCAGTTAATAAAGGATGGTGCAGCAGTAGCAGTAGTAGTTGTAGTAGTAGTTGTACTAGAAGTAGTTGCTGTATTAGTAGTAGTTGTAGTAGAAGTAGTTGCTGTATTAATAGTAGTAGCAGCAGTAGTAGCAACAGCAGTAACATTAGTACTAGTAGTAGTAGTTGTAGTAGAAATAGTTGTTGTATTAGTAGTAGTAGTAGTAGGTGTAGCAGTTGTAGTAGCAGTAGTAGCAGCAGTAGTAGCAACAGCAGTAACATTAGTACTACTAGTAGTAGTTGTAGTAGAAGTAGTTGTTGTATTAGTAGTAGTAGCAGTAGTAGCAGCAGCAGCAGTAGTAGCAGTAGTTGTTTCAGTAGCAGTATTTCTAACATGTATTTTCTGTTGTTTCTGCAGGTGGACAGTGCCTGATCCACGGCGGCGTCAGCAAGTGCAGTTGCCGCGCCGGGTTCGTGGGCACTCGCTGTGAGATCAACATCAACGAATGCGCCAGAAACCCCTGTCTGAACGGAGGCACCTGCCAGGACCGAATCAGCGACTACGTCTGTCAGTGCCCGAGCGGTTTCACAGGACGAAACTGCGATCGCATCCTCGACCCCTGCACCGTCCAACCATGCCTCAACGGGGGATTCTGCAGCACCACCAACTCGCCCGGGAATACTGGTCTACCCACTTGTATTTGCCCAACCGGAGTAACTGGACCTCGCTGTGAGTACTTCGCAGCTGTGGCGCCGTCTACCAACCAAGGAGGATTCCAGTGGGCGGCGGTTTCGTTAGCGATCGGTCTGGTGGCGTTGCTGGTTCTGCTTTGTATGGTCGGATTGGCGCTGAGGCACATTTACCGGCAACGTCAAAGAGAAAGAGAAGACACGGAAACGATGAACAATTTGTCGAATGTGCAAAAGGATAATCTAATACCAGCGTCGCAACTTAAAAATACAAATCATAAACTTGGGCTGGAGGTGGACTGTGACTCTGAGAAATCAAACTTCATTCATAAAAACTATCACTTGGATTCGTACAACTCCAAACAGAAGGAGTTTAAAGACGAGAATTCACAACAGGAGAAAAGTTTAATTTATGACAAGTGTTTAGAAGACAAAAGGACTTCAAGAATTTACAGGTAAGAATGGGCACTGTGTAACTTTTATAGTGTATCTGCCTGCTCTGTTGCCATGGAAATGTTCTTGCTTTTGTTATTGTTGATTGCATTATTGTATTGCAATGGTAGTAGCAGTAGTAGTAGTAGTAGTAGTATTTACAAGTAAGAATGCTTCTATTAAAGGGATACTGTGTAACTGTTCTACTTGATGGTCTTCCCCCTGTTTGTCGCCATGGAGATGTTATTGCTGCCACTGGAATGTTCCACAGTATGATTATCTTGCATTTATTCAATTCAATGTGATTACTGCAAATATCTTAAAAACACATTCTTACTTTGAGCGGGTTTGCCTCACCACAGATCTGATCAACAGGGCGTTTGATCGTTATGGCAACGGTCCTGTTTTCTCATCATTTTCTAACACAAGAAAAGATAGATTTTGGTGATCTTTGCTTAGTTTGCCAAGTTTAAAGCCGTACTGTGGAACGTTCCAATCAAAGCAATAACATCTCCATGGAGAAAAACAGGTGGCAAACCCTTCACCAGAAAAGTTACATAGAGCACCTTAAAAAGTATGCTATGGTTTCACAAAACTTCATGGACAAGTTGAAGTATTTATGGAAAGTTTTAGTAAAATCCAACTAGGAAGACTGAATTTCCTGATAGTTTCTACTTCCTGTCCATTTAAGCCAATCACAGCCTACAACCGGTGCCTCACAACCGATCACCTGTCAAATCTATTCATATAAATGCACTCTCTCTCCTCTTCTCTGCTTCATCTCCACCACAGCAGTAGAACCCTCATCTCCTCCTCCTCTTCACCTCTTTCATTGGATTGATCTCTCTACCTGCTGGGGTTTCAGTGCCTAAGTCTATCTATCCCTGTGTTTCAAAATGATGACAAAATAGGACTGTTGCCATAGTGATAAACAATTTGAAGACCTTGTATTCAAGCAATTTTGTCCCAGTCCATATATATTGTGTATAAGCAGCTCTTGAAGTAAAATAAAAAGGCTGCTGTGTACTACTTGCATCTAATTAGAAATGTTGTTTGATAATCAGGAAGTGAACATTAGCATTCTAGTTGTTGTTAACACTCTTTATATGGACAACAGAATATGATTTTCGATATTCTTTAGTATCAATTCCTGCTCAAATGAATATCCAGTTTTGAGACTAGTATTAGTAACGATTAGTATGTGATTTTTTATACTTTTGACAGTCCTAAACAGAATGCAGAACACTGGCCTGACCCCATCTGAGAAAGGGACATTAACGCATTGTGCTATTTGAAAACATCCAATAAAAGTGAATTGTGTTTATGGCTCTGTACATCTGGTCTCCGGCTGTCAGGGCTTTGTGTGGAAATACTCAAACTCATAATTAAACCAAAATGTCGAATTCGGAAACATCGCGCATCTCAAAGACAAACACATAAATCACAATTGTTTATTTCCTGCACTACAAAAAAAAAGACTTGAGCTAAAATGACTTGATTTGACTTGCAGATTTGAGCAGTGTTGACTAATTCAGCAACTTTTTGACATTTATGACTGATTTTTGAGCCTGCTACAGTCAGCTAGAGCAGCGCGGAGTGAACCAAAGCCAAAGATTAAGATTTCAGACTGAGAAAAAATTTATGATTTGAACACAGGCAAACATTTACACAATATCCGGCCCTTTTGAAAACTGCAGCGAGCCGAATACTAGCAGTTTGTATTCACATTGCGCTCTGCCCAATGGAGTAGGAGACTTGTCCAGCTCTCAACAGGCTTAAAATGTGACTAACCTTTACATTCTGTTCTCAATCACATTTCAAATCTGCAAAACTGGGCTATACCAGGATTGAATTAAAAAGCGAGGGAGGAAGGAAAAGTGTGATTGGTCTAACAGGTATCCACACTTTAAACTCTGCCCCTCCAGCCAGGTATTTGTAATCAGAAACATGTAGCTGTAATCAGGGCAGGGCAGTCATGTGTGAGGTCACGCAGTACTTGAAACTGCAGTAGCCAGTTGAGGTAACAAACAAAAAAGGACAAGAACAATAGTCAGTGCTACTATAATATCATATACAGCATTTAGTTGCAAAAAAGTTGATACCCTATCCAGATTTTCTTATAGATGCACAGTATTTGCCTCTCATTGCAGTCTCTTTATGTCTTCATTTATTTTTAACTTAAAAATGCAACTAAATAAGTAAAAAAATAAATAAATTATGCTCAATGGACACACGATTTAGCTGGAAACAATAAAATATAGGCCTGTTGAAACCAGCCAGAAATAAGTCAAAACAACTCATAACTTGTAAAGTTATACATTAAATATGTCAGCTAATCCAGGAGTAATAAATCCAAATCATTTCATTTCACACAGACATTTTTTGCAGTGAAGAGCAGATCATGTTTAGCTGTACTCATTTAAACTCTAAAACCCTTGATGTGTTTTTTTCTTTTACAGAGAAAAGCCAGAGTGTCGGATATCCACAGTATGCTCCAGCAGAGACTCCATGTACCAGTCTGTGTTTGTGATCGCGGAGGAGAGGAGAGAGTGCGTCATAGCAACAGAGGTAAACATATACCATAAACACGTCATGACAGTCTATAAGATGTTTCTCAGGCTGATTTGGCCTATCCTGTGTGGCCTTTCATTCATCTTTACGGAATACACTGCAAAAATAAACAGGCACTGTACAAAATGAACTGACATACACTGTTATAACTTTATTAGTGTAAATGTAAAAAAGTCAAATTTCCAGTATTAATCTTGATTGAGTATTTAGTATGAAACGTGTCTTGACTTTGTCATGTTATTGACAACATTTTGAGGACTTTTGCCTATTCAAAGGATAGAATATTATGTTTTATGTTTTAATTGTTCATTTAGTGAAAATTATAGTTTGGGTATAATTAGCTTTGTGGTCTGGTCTGGTCTGGTCTGGTTTTAAGTGAATAAAAAAATTAGTATGTTATACAAAAAATATTACAAATGAATGCCTACATTTAGTTAAAAAAATAATAATAATAAAAATTAAACGTAAAACTAAAAACATAAATGTGTAGTGTGTATGTTTTATGCCATACTGTGGAAGATCATAGCCAAAGGAACAATATTTCCATGGAAACAAGCAGGAGGATGTCATCCTCCAGGCCAAATAAGAGTCAGGTTTGTGGAGATGCAAGTCTGGTCTAGTAATGCTACTAAGTAAACTGTGAAGCTAGTTTAGTGTTTTACTTATCAGGTCAATAATATTACCAATATGGCATTAATCCACCTGGGAAAAACAGTACAGGCACAGCCTATTAAGATATGCCATACTGTAGAACATTCACAGCAAGCAAAGACATCTCCATGGAGACAAGCCGAAGGCAAATACTCCACCAGAAAAGTGACATAGTACCCCTTTAAGTTTACTGCTTAGCTTCTGCTGTAAACTTATTGAAATGTCACTGTTTGATTTTCAGCCTTTGCTATTTGCACATTAGTGCTCTGTGTGGTTTAGAATCTCAGGCCTCCCAGTTTCACAGTGGGGTAGAGCTACAACATATGCACTTTTACATCCATGCTGTTTAATGACTCATTCAAGGACCGTAAATGCAGTGGGTAACACATTATAAATAAGAGCCAGATTTTAACAGATGCATTTTTAGTGTTTTTGGCAAAGACTGGCTCCTCCAGAAGGCTGCAGATCACTGGGTTACTTTAGATTTACAAACGTATCTGGCCTTATTTATTAGACTTTCTCACTTATAAACAATACCATTAGTCACGGGTTATTGATACTCTGCAGCTGAGGTCATCAACCCTCCCTGGGGGTGTGATGCTAACTGTAGGCAATCCTCTGTCTGAAGCACTATTAGACTTTAATCTGAGCTTTGTTTTAACATAATCCGACCATAAAAATCTGACTTAACTGGAACTTCAACATGCGAGGTGATTTGTGCTGTTAAACAAGTGGCTCTCAAATAACATTACACAAAAACACTTGTATTTGAATAAATGTAACATAGAGTACTATGCTATACTGTGAAATATTCCAAGTAAAACAATATCTCCATGGAGACAAGCAGATGACAGTTACGCAGTGCACCTTTAATTAAACTATAACAGCATGTATTATTATGTAACTTGGATTATGTAACAGTTTGGATTTTCTTATCTGCTGGATTATTTTGATGGTGGAAATCTTAAAAAACTCACTCAACACAATAAGGTCTGAAAACTAATATAGGACTAAATCCGAAATAGTCAAAAAAAAAAGTTTACTCAGTTTAAGTTTCTGAATTGAAATCATTATACCCCATGCTATAGTCATTTTTGCAGTGTATATATCTTAATAAGCAGTTTTTTTCATCCCCTGTGCATTATTGACTTAAAGTAGACTTACATTTTTGGACCTATTCATTGTAATTGTAATTTTTGGGGCTCATAAATAACTTGAGGATTTCTTTATCTTGGCCATAGGTTGCAGTTATTCCACACGTTTGGCTTCAGTGAGGTCTCAGAGGTGCTATGCTTTACTGCTCTGACTTCTAGGGGAATTTCAGTGTAACATTAACAAAGAAATAAAATCAAAATAACTATCTGAAGTTGCTTTGTAAGAGCAGCTGTTGTTATTAATATGTCTGGGTTTACGGTTCAGTTCCAGTTGTGGAGTTAAGAAAGGTGCGGCTGTAGTATTGAGAAAGGTACAGTTTTTGTGTTTGAAAACTCAAAAAAAAACAAAAAAAAATGTAATTAAACAACTCATTTTTAGGAGCCTCTGATCAATACGAGCGTTCATGGTCTTGTTTAGGAGTTTGATTTTCATCAAAAGCTCTCCCGTTGTAGTTCCAACTAAGTCAGTTCTTTTTGGTCAAACTGTGTTGAACTAAAACTCAAATTAAAGTCTAACAAAGCCTCAGACAGGGCAGTGCCTACAGTTAGCATCACTCCTCCAGGAAATGTTGACGACCTAACCTGCAAAGTATCATTTAACTTGATCTGAAAGTTGCTGGTTCAAATCCCGGTTAGCTCCAAATGTGGCCAAAACACTTCCACCCACAACTATCTGTTCACTGTGTAATCCCTGAGCATTACATTTTAGCATGACTCAGCAAAAAACCCTTAAAAATAATTGGACAGGAATTAGTTGTGCTAACAGTGAGCTAGCCTTTTCTGACGTGCACAGAGCCAATTGTTACTTTTGGTGGTTTTCGGAACGTTTTGCTGACACAGAATGGAGCTTAACAGTCCAGCCCACTTTGAAACACATTTTAAATGAAATTATAGGTCTCGTGGTCATTATTTACCATTAACAATGTGAAACTTTGGGGGGAAAATGAATGGAAATTTACTTTGGGAACTGAAGCAAGAGTGGATGGTCACAGTGGAGCTCCATAGCAATGACAGCTTTTGTTAGAAATGCAAAAAATCTGTAATTTAGTTTAAGGAATTTGCAATTTACACATTTTCTTTCATATGTCTAAATCTTGTTTTTTATTTCCACAGGTATAATCAATGAGGAATCTGAAGTCTGAACGAACTCGGAAAGAGACACAATTGACAATATTTGTTTACAAAACGCCGAGAGGAGACTCCACTGCTGCTTTCAGACACTTGAGAACTGGAAATAAAAAATAAAAAACTCTACAAAAACTGACAAACTTTATTAATGACGTGGAGTTTGTGTTCAAGAACATGTACAGCGAAGGACCTCTTTAAAACAACAGACTGATGCGACGTCAGCGAAAATCATTATTTATAAAATCGTCAGCCATCTTGGACAGTTAAAGGATTATACAGCGAGATGAGATCCCTCGAAATGGCCTTTTTTGTGATAATCAAGACATTTTTTCAGCCAACCAATCAATCAACACCTGTGCCTACAACATCCAAGTCAATCCCCTTACGGACACTGCTCACCAGCTTCGCCTGCTATGCAAAAAGGAACGCAATCCAACCTCGAAAATGCTGTAATGTATGTTTGAAAAGTTAATCGAAAAACTGTCAATCAAAACACTGCAAAAACAAAAACCATATGACTTAAAATGACTTGAAGTAAAAAAAAAAGAGTATTCTTGACTCATTTAGATTCATTTATTAGACTTGAATAAAAAAATGTGAGTAGATCTGACTAGTTTTGACCTTAAGCAATTTTCTTGTTTAAATATATTTACAAGTTTATTAGTCAAGTTTTTTTCATTCCATCAGTTTTTTGCTAATGTTTTCAGTTTGTTTAAGATTGGTGAGTAAATTAAATTAAAAAGGACATAAAATAACAATTGTTTTAATATATTTACCATTAGTTTCAAAATAAAAAATCTTAATTATATCATTTATTATTTGTCTGTGAAGTTGTTTTAGTTTTGAGTTGTTAGTAAAGTTAAGGTTGGTCAGTAAAATAGCTTAAAAATTTGAAAATATATTGATACGAGTAGGGAATTTCTCAAAACAAGCCAACTAATCTAGGTTTAAATGTACAAAATTCTTGAATTCTTGCCCGAATCAAGATTAATATTGTAATTTCAAGTCATTTTAACTCATAGATTTTGAATTTTGCTGTGAAAAGACAATAGAAGGTTGGACTTTGTAACATGTAAAGGTGAAGATTGTATGAAGCCTGAATGAAGCCTTAATATGAAATAAAAGAGAAGGGAATTGTTGCAAAAATTCATGCTCTTTGGCTATTCTTGGATCATTTGCACTATAAAAAATGAATAGTTTTTGGAGGAATTGGATTTTAATCAATAAAAAAAAAGTTAAAAATCTATAAATGAAACCACAGAAATGTGTTTAAGTGCCGTGCCAGCAGGATCCAAGAAGCAAAGAGCCCATTCAAAGTGCTTTTATGAAAAATTCAAAACATACACTGCAAAAAATAATGCCCACATGAAATATAATGACTTGAATTCAGAATCTTGATTTGAATTAACTCAGCTTTTTTAAATTCAGTGTCAGTAGTTCTCAATTAATAAGTCTTCATGTTTTTTTTCCTGTTACTTCCAAATATTTGCCATTGGGGTAAAATACTTAATCTTATATAACCATAAAGACGCACTGTGTAACTTTTCTGGTAGAAGATATCCAACATGCTTGTTACATAAACAAATAGAAGTGATTTTATTGATTTCAAATGTATTGGAAATCATATATATTTGTATGATTTGACCTGTAACTTGGCCTGGTGGTCTCCATGGTGACAGATACATTTTATAATACCATATTGTGAAACATTTTAGGGCAAAACAAAGACGTTTAGCTGTTGGTGTACTCTACCAGAAATGTTTTTGTTGCGTATGTTTTATTGTTTTTTCACAAAAGATTACAATGTCGAATCAACAGTTCAAAACATCTTAAATCAGGCAAAGCAATCAAGTGTCATTTTTGTAATTACTTCAGTCTGAACAAGTCCAAACTCCTCAAATCTATCTAATATTTTGAATTCAAGTCATTTATTTCTTGCAGTGAAGTAAAAGACTGTCTCACCACTGCCTGCCTATAAGAACTCTCCAAACCACAGAACCAATAATGTAATTTTTTAAAGTGATGATTTCAGAGTTTAATTTAAATATGACACTCCTCTTTATATGTTTTATAATGTTATTTTGTATATAATGCATATTTATAAGGACCAAACCAGAAGTGAGAATAAACGGTTTTTAATGTGATGGTGTAACAGAAGATTATTTTTGAGGTGTTTTTAAACTAAAGTGATTCAAATGATGGAGATCTGTGTCTTGTATTTATTATGAAAAATACACAGCAAACTGACAACAACCACATCTTTGGGGTTGAATAATGGCATCACTTTCTGAAGCTCGTGTGGAAAAGATCACTTTGTTTATTTATACTGACACAGAAGATGTTGAATTTTGTGCCAGTTTTTGTTTCACATGGATAGTTGCAGAGATATGAACCATAAACCAACAAATCTGCAATCTGACAGTTAAACAGCCACCAGCCAGTGTATTGATACTCTGCACATTTTGTCATAAACAGTCACTCCAGTTGTGATGTTAACTGTAAGCAGTGCTCTATCTGAGACCATTTAGACATTAATCTGAGCTTCATTTTAACACAGTCTGACCAGAAAGACTTGATTTTGTTGGAACTACAACAGGGGAGCTGATTTGTTCTGTTACACACACAAAAAAATAAATCAAACTCCAAAAAAGAACCATGAAAAGGGGAGGTAGAACACCACCAGTGTGATGTCACTATCAAGTATCAATATAGTACTTTATTCGGAATTCAAAGGCTACATTCAGACTGCAGCCTGAAGTGACCCAAATCTGATTTTTTCATCCCTATGTGACCTGTAAATGATCTTTTAATGACAGTCTGAACGACACACATCTGATGTTTTCAAAAGGAACCCAGGCCACTTGTAGCCAGGCTGATGCCACCTAGTGCCTCCGCTCAATTTCATTTCTCTCCAGCAACTAGGTCAGGAATCAGAATACACTAGACGGTTCGCAAAAACCCGGAAGTGCAAGTTCGGGCAACAGCCAATCAGTGAAGAGTCATATATTCAGTGTTGTCAACGATTCCCGAGATCGAAGACTTAAAGCCGGAATAAAGAGAATGTTTGGTGAATTTCATCAAGAGGAAAGACAATATTGCCCTTCTTCCTACGGGGTTTGGAAAAAGCTTAATATATCAGTTAGCCCCGTTAGCGCCGCATTACCTACGTCACGACCAAATAGCAGTGATTGGTTAAATGATAAAAAGTACCCACCTACCGTCGCCCGAACAAAATGTAAGGCTAAGAGGTCAGATAGTTTGTACAAACCGATACATATCCAATCTTCAGTCTGAACGGCCAGGTCGCATTCATCCCACCTACACATCACAAATGTACACAAACGCTCTTCTCATCATACAAAAATTGTGTCTGAACTCCGTGTCAGTGAAGCATCAAAGCACATAGCAGTCTCACCACTCTTGGCTGCGACTCTGCACTTACACGTTCCTTTCTACAGACGTTGCTGCCGCTGCCCCACAAAACACCATGGCCAAAAACCTCGTCCTTCTCCTTCTCAGTCTCCTTAAAACAAATAAGCTGTACATGTTCTGGCTCCGGTACGACAGCAACTTTGAAAGGAGCAATTCTAGGGTCCATGTTTAGGCTACTTCCATGAACACTGAGCACACTCGCTGCTTCTGACGTCATCGTGTCCTCCAATGTGCATGTGGGACACTTTTGGGGCATTTAAAGTTCACACTGGAGGCCACATACAAGTCACATTTAATTGGAAATGTGAACCGCCTCGCAAAAATCTGATTTCACAAAAAAATCCAAATTGAACATTAAGCTCTGCAGTCTGAATGTAGCCAAAGTTGCTTCTATTGCATTATTCATTCACTACACACTCAGTAAGATACTATAGTCACAGCTGCCCTGGGGTAGACTGACGGATATGAGGCTGCCAATCTGCACCATTTTCCCCTCCAAACACCACCAACACTCACTCACTACATTCATTCTAAGCAATGCATGTCCAACAAACTAGTCTTCTGTATGGATGTGCATGTTTTAGGTAACAGAAAAAATATGAAACACTATTTTAGAAAGTTGTAAAAAAAATAAAAATAAATAAATAAAAACATAGCTAAAATGTAATCCAGCAGTTTCACACAAATCAAAATATCAAATCCATCTGATATTTTATTTCCTGCTCGTCTTTGTGTAATTCCTTATATCCTCTCCTCTCTCCTCTCTCTCACACCCTCCAGCGCTCCCAGTTTTCTCATGTTTTTGCACCGACCTTAAATTGGCCTGAAATTTAAATGTGTTTCCACGGAGACCGCCCCTCGAGCTGGAAATGGCGAAACAAAGCGAGGCGCGGGGGTTAAAGGGAAGAGATACACCCCCCGTACACACACACACACACACACACCCCGGACCCTCCCTCTATAACAGGCACACGCTGCTCTCATACACTTAAATGTACACACAAGGAGGGTTCACTGGACTTATGGGGACCTTGTATTTACTTACATGAAGCTGAATTTTAAGCAGATTAATCCATCTCAACACTCCACACCGAATAGAAACTCTTCACTAACATAAACAGGAAATAGAAAGGTAAAACCACACTTTGGAACATTCTCCAGGAGGAAAAATTTTTGCTATACTGTAGAATATTATAGTCAAAAGAACAACATTGCTATGGAAAACAAATAAGAGTTGTGTTTGTGGAGATTAGGACTGGGTATCATTAGGAAGTTGCCGATACCTTACATACCATGATACACAGGCCACGATACGATACATATATCGATACAGTGAACTTTTGATTCAATACGATATATTTCAAATCGATTCGATACGGTTCAATAAAAAATAAAGGCTAAATCATGGCTTTGATACTAAAAGTCTTTGTTAAACCACTTCTTGTGCAAAGTTCATATGAAACACAAACATTTTACTCATCAAAACTGTGAAAATGTCATATGTGTCTTTCCTTCCTCTAAACAAGCAACAAAACTGTAGTGCTGTAACAAAATAATTTAGTAAAATATGCCAAAAAATACTCTTGGTGATATATCGATGCAGCAGCCCATGATATCGATACTGTATCATCACATTAAGCAATACGATATATATCGATATTTCAGTAGTTTTGGACACCCCTAGTGGAGATACGAGCACGTTTGGATTAAGGACTCAGGCTTTTCTCTTTCTCTCTCAATGCAATAAACATAACCAAAGTTACATACTGTGGCTTTAAGAGAATTGGAATTATTTTGTTAATGGACATTATCCTTTGTATTGTCATTGTTTTAAACCACATTATAGCACTGTTTAATATTTCAAAATGGTCCCTCTTTCATCTGGGTACCGAAAAAGGTTGTCCCCACTTTATGATGTCATCTGGTGGTGGTCATCCAGACGTGGTCCTCTGTCCACTCACTTTCATGAGATTGATCACTGTAAAAAGAAAAATATATATCAAAACTAACAAAAGAACTGGAAGAAAACAAAACAATTAACCCCAAACCTATACAAACAAATACCCAAGTTTGTAGTACTTTTCATGGTTCTTTTGTTATAAATTTGAATTAATGTTTTCCGCACAACATGATTTCACTCATTTTACTCAGAAAGATTTAGTAGCACATTCTTAATCAAATATTCACATTATGATTCTGTTTGTGATTTTGTGCAATTCCAGTTTTCAGTCCCCACGAGATTAGGTAAAAAAGAACTCACGCAGGCTGTAAACAGATGCTGGTGTGTGTGTGTGTGTGTGTGTGTGTGTGTGTGTGTGTGAGGGCGAGTATGGGGGGTGAGGGTACGATAAAAACAGCAGCATATGCCAGGCCTCACACCCTCCATTAAAAACACTGGGGGTCATATTGTGCCCCTCTGCCTCCTCCTGCCAAAGAATATATATATATATATATATATATTTACGGTATATAGGTATATATAGTACATATAGTACACATGTGTTTAAATCAATTGAATTCAGAATATTAACCTTGGTAATTTAGACTTTACATTACATTTATATTTATATAGGTCACTAAAATATCTATCTTGTTTACTTAAAGGTGCATAGTGGTGTTGACTTTTTGCTTGATTCTATGGAGATGTCATTGCTCTGCCTGGAAAGTTCCACAATATGACATTAAACAGCTCTACTTTACATTTATTCCATTACAGGTGGTTTTATTGCTGAAAAATACCTAGAAAAACAAGTATTCTGACTGTGAGCGGGGTTGCCTCTCCACAGATCTGAACTGTAACTTAGTCTAGTTTGGTCTGTGAAACATTTCAGTCAAAGGGGTAACATTTGGAGCTCCATTTAACGGGCCCTTCGCCAGAAAAGTTACACAATGCACCTTTAATTAGCCATATAATTTGACTTCAGTATTGCTTTTCACATACTATATTTCTTTCTCTTTCTTCCTTTATTCTTTATTTGTCAGGGAACATGTACAAATCCATTAATCTTACAAAAGAAAAGATGATTTGTCCCAGATTTAGCTACAGCTTCTCTCCCTCTGCAGTTCTGGGGTAGATGAACACAAATTAAGAAAACACATTTCATTACAATTACATTATAGACAAACTTAGTTCAAGCCATTTTAAAGGTGCACTATGTAACTTTTCATTTCATAGTCCACCACCTGATTGTTTCCATAGATATATTGTGCTGTTTTCTAATCTGTTGTAATGTTTTCCTCAACAAAAACCTACCTGAATTTATGTTTGTTTCATTCACGCACAAAAAAAAAAACTGCATATTTAGACTAGAAGTGCTCCACTGCATTTTTAAACTCCATCCATCTTCACTAGAATTATTTGAATGATTTCAGCCCTGAAATTAGCCCTGATTCTCGATGTTCAAAAGATAAAAGGTCGCTGTTGACTAAATAATTATAAAGGGTTACGCAAACTCCTGGTCTGTTTTTGAGGCGGTAACGACATTAGAACATGACTTAAAGCTCACAAGAGTCCATTTTTGCGCAATACAGGACCTTTAATGTGGGCCTAAACCACAACAAATACTTCAGAAATATGTGTATTTCCGATTCTGTCTCCTCTCTTTAGTGAGACTTGCCCTGGCTGTGACTGGGGAGGGGAGCAGATGGGAGCCAGAGACACATAAATAAAAAAGATTTATATTTTCCCCAAGTGGAAGTCTGCCGAGGCGTGAACCGTCT